CAATGTACAGCTGTCCAGACCTCCTGACAGATCCAAACATGGTGACCTGGATACAGTTGCGTTCAAAATCTGTTTCCTTAAAAAATGTGGACATTATTCACGATTGTCTTTGATCATCAGAAAGCACGGGGGTCCTTCACAAAATTCATAAATTTCCTGAATTCCTGATAATCACGGCAAATTGTCATCATCCCAGTAAATGGATTTCCTGGAAGCTTAGAATTCTGTGACTCAACCTGATCCATCCCCAGTGTGACAAGATCCGCCACACATGAACTAGCATCCTCCTGCAGCATTTTCCACAAGAAGAAAGGAATTATGCTCAGAATCTGGTCTTGCTTAAAAATACTCACTTGATGCAATATTGACAATTAATAAACACAAACAAGGCTTGAAAAATAGAAAACAACATCAAGGGTGCTTTTAAAATTGTCAAGATTAGATGAAGATGCAAAGAGCCAGTGTTTTTTATATTTGTACAATTCTTTGGTGAAGATATTCCTTTAACATGAAGTGAACCAAACATCCTGGATCCTCCATGAATCAGCAACATTCTGGACATGAAACAGGGGCACTCTTCCAACAGCCACAAGTTCCACACTGTTCTTGGCTGTCCATCTCACTAGTCTTTCCCTCTCTTCATACTGGATGTTTCCAACTCTAGCTCCTCATGCAACTGAACCAAACTTCAGACAAGTTTACTAAACATAACACGTCAATGCTAGAGAACCAGTCTTGATTATCCCATGAAACAGATTCCATTGGGTGTATAAGGCAAAATAATGATGAACATTTATTAATGGAACACACGGTATCAGTGAAGACACTAGGTGTTCACAAAGAGGGAACGCATGTCCTGTCCTGCCAGAAGCACCATCTGTTCATCAGCAAGAACGCCGGACTCATGACATCAAGCAGCAAAATTCTTCCATTCAGCATGCCATGCCATGTTTTACATTTTGTTCGTTCTTCTGTTATGAAGCTTTACAAAACAAGCATAAACATGGCTCATAAGTTTGGCAATTGTTACACCTAGACCTCATTCAAACATTTAACATTTTGAACACCAGCTCCTTCAAGAACCTCATCACACAAGGAATTCAAAAGGTCAAGGACGTTTCGATAAATTCCAAGGTTCAATTACGTGATGTTCACAACACTTTCAAACTAATTCCTCCACAAATTCCAGTTCCACACATTCAATCACATGAGGAATCCATCAGCACATTCCAAATTTCCAGTTTTCTGTTATTCAGAATTGTGGCCCAGTCTTCCATCACCTTTAAACCCCTAACAGCACCTACGTCCATTCAAATCAACAGCAAAACAAGTTCAAGATCCGAATCCAAGACTGAATCATCCTGTTCTCAGACCACATTCTTGCACTAGACCAGTCTTCCACAAAGCTCCTTGCACTGCTCCTGACACAATAACACCAAGAGTCTTCAAGCTTGTCCTGACAACTCCTCAGCACACCCTGTTGTGAGTGTGTACAATGTAACACAATGTTCCTATATACCATGTTATTGAACCGGTTCAGAGAGCTGATATTACACCTTAATCTTGGTTATATACACATCGGTGGGTCTCACATAATCAGGATAATCTTATACCCTGTTCCAGATATCGAATGACTCGAGGCATCTGAGCTTCATCTTTAATGAAGCCATTCAGCTAGACTTGCTCACAGACCAGAACAGACTATTGCCTCAGTCAAGCTCCAGTAGTTCTCTAATGTCCCTAAACCACATGACTGGTCTATTTGTTCAACCTGAGCTAGTGCAGGTGTATTTTCATTAACGATTGTTTGGGTAATCCAGTTTATTGATATATTACTAATCTATTGACATGCTCATCAGTGCAGATAAAAAATATGATCAATTTTTCAATTGTAGCAAAATATTTATCATCACCTGGTTCTGTGAGGAAAACAGAGAATCCAAACTGCTTAAAGTGTAACATGTTTACTGTTTCACAATGAAGTACAATTTTAACTTTATTCAGAGAAAGTTTCATCACTTTCATGTCTTACAAGAGAGAGGCGAAACGAATGCTTTTCAATTATGGAAAGTACTCAATGGCAACGGGTGAGTGAGTGAGTGAGTGAGTGAGTGAGTGAGTGAGTGAGTGAGTGAGTGAGTGAGTGAGTGAGTGAGTGAGTGAGTGAGTGAGTGAGTGAGTGAGTGAGTGAGTGAGTGAGTGAGTGAGTGAGTGAGTGAGTGAGTGAGTGAGTGAGTGAGTGAGTGAGTGTAGTTTTACCCCGCTTTTAGCAATATTCCAGCTATATCATGACAGGGGACACCAGAAGGCTCCACACATTGTACCCATGAGGGGAATCAAACCCAGGTCTTCGGCGTGACGAGCAAACACTTTAACCACTTGAATATTGTAGCCGAAGTCAGCATGGTGAGTTGGTTACTTGTGCCGATTCAGCAAAATTTATGTAATATGACCATGGTACAAATTGGTAAATTAAAATCTGGACCGCCTTCATAGGAAACAAGAGATTCAGTATTTTGGCTGGCCCACTGACCCAATGTTTATGTACAGATAACCATGTATTTAAACAATTGATAAGCTGACAAAATATTCCATCAATCTTTCTCTTGGCAACAGACAGCTGATTATCAATGGCACACATTCCAACATAGGCATTATTGATTTGGTATTTTCCCAGGTCAGCAATATTCAACATATCACAGCAGGTTACTAGTCAGGACCGAACAAACCAATAACTGAGGACAAATAAAACGGTCAAAAAGGTTTTCCATAATCTGAAGACAGTGGGCGAGTGAGTTTAGTTTTACAACACTTTTAGCAATATTCAAGCAATATCATTGCAAGGGACACCAGAAGTGGGCTTCACATAGTGTACCCATGTGGGGAATCGAACCTGGGTCTTTGGCATGACGAGCGAACGCTTTCACCATTAGGCTACCCCAACACCCATAATCCGAATACAAAATCTGTTATACAATTCCCCCTGTGTCATAAGCTTGTGCTCATCAAATAGTGACAATCATGATGATACCCAATGGTTACAAAGATTAAAGCTTATCCTGCCCCATCAGTCACAAACACATGCAGAAGCAAGTCAATTGTACACCTAAAATATTAGCCATTCTCGATCCTTTTGGCATACAGGGACATGTAAACAGCCAAATCTCCACCCTAACCAGCCAATACACATTTTCTCCTTTGACCATAATTCAAAATACAGATCCCAACTGACGTTTATTCAAATACTGGATTTTTTTCAATTCAGTGATCACAAGACAAAAGACATGAAAAGATGAAATAGCTAATATTTCAAACACATTGTCAAGAATGTCATGGTAATATCTCAACACATTTAAAAAGCAATTAATTTAGTTCACATTTCTGCAGTTAAACTTGTTACAGTCATAAAACGAAAAACATAATGCTTTTGTGTCAACTTAAATCCTGTTTTGTCATTGAATGTTGTGAGGAGAAGTGAGCCCATTTCTTTCATTATAGTCTGTTTCACATTGTAAGCACAAAACCTAATTATCTGCTTGAGAATTATCAAATTGCAAGATTAACTGATTAAAGGAGTTTATGGAGTTGATAGGACAGGGCTGGAGAGGCTTTCTGGCTTGTGTGTTCAAGATCTCAGCCCAACCTCACAGCTGAGTGCTTATGTCAAGAAGCGTTGTCTCTCACTGAATACCTGGGATTACATTGGGGCGGCCATTTTGATTTTTGCTCATGGCAACCAGTTCAGGTCCTTTTGAAATAGGAACTTTGTTTTGGTTTGCCACTTTACAGATAAATTTATTCTATATTGTATATTTGATTGGGATTCCACAAGTTGCTGAGCCAATAACGAAGCCAATGACAGACTTTTGTTAATTGCATAGAAGTTTTTATCCACATTATAAAAGTTGTATGCTTCATTACCGTTCAATAGGGAATTGGATTTTTTGTATTTTTAGCAAATTTTAAAGACAAATCCTGTATACATGTTTGTTTAACAACAGCTTATTGTGATTTTTTTATTCTGGAGCAGACAGTCTAGTTTGAACACTATTCTAGCTTATATCATGTATGTGGATGAGGAAGAAGTGAATGAGTGAGTTTAGTTTTATGCCACATTCAGCAATATTCTGCCTATATGGCAGCAGTCTGTAAATAATCGAGTCTGGACCAAACAATCCAGTGATCAGCATCACAAGCATTCATCTATGCATTGGGAACCGATAACATGTGTCGGACAAGACAGTGAGCCTGACCACCCGATTCGCCCGTTATTCGCCTCTTACAACATGCATGGGTTACTGAAGATCAATTTTAACCCAGATCTTCTCAGGTCTGATGATGAAGGAATGCTACTAGTGATGCAAGTCTTGGATGCTAACCACTGAATTGGATGGTTCTAAGACAGAGAAGCCAAGTTCCTTTTCAACAATTGTATAGAATGATGCTCATGATTTTGATCACTGGATTGTCTGTTCCAGACTTGACTATTTACAGACCACTGCCATATAGCTGGAATACTGCTGAAAACAGCATGATACAAGAATCAAAATCTGTGTGTGAAAATCAGGGAATAAATCACTTCTAGGTAAGGGAGTTACTTTAGTTTTATGCTGCTGTTTGCAATATTCCAGCAATATCACGTCAGGGGACACCAGAAATGGGCATCACACATTGTACCCATTTGGGGAATTGAATCCAGTCTTCGGTGTGACGAGCGAACGCTTTAACCATTAGGCTACCCCACCGCCCCAAATAACCACTTTTACTTTCATCAGTATATAAGAAATCAATTACGTTTTGGCAACATGGTTTTTTTTTTAACAATGGCATTTAATCAAATGGCAGACTAGGGTGGACTCGGGTTGCTCAAGTTTTTCCCCAAACCCACCATTTTATTTAAACACTGACATAAGAAACAAGTCTTTGTTATTGATTTACCTGTGTTTTATGTCAAGTGGATCAACCCTCCACTCCATTGAAGATTAGAATATGACAAAAGTCCTGGGCCCTGTTTAACAAAGCTCTTTTAAGCCTGAGATCTCGTCATTTTTCTCGTAGCATTTGTACCTCCTGTACTGTAACATAGGAAGTACGATTGCTAGGAGGAAAGTTACAAGATTTTAGGCTTATGAGAGCTTTGTGAAACGAGGCCCAGGTTCTGACTCTGGTACACTGACAATATGGAACTGGCCACCCAGTGCTAAGCTACATGAGTGAAACCAAACTCTGTAGCCAGCTACATCATGGAAACTTGAAAATAGGCATCTGGACTCGGTAACCTGGTGGTTGACATCTTGAGCACCAACACAGTCATTGCTAGATGAAACACAAGCCAGGTCCAGCTACATCATGGAAACTTGAAAATGATCTACAGGGCTCCAGATAATTTTTCAACATCAGGAGTACGTACTCCTTATTTTTTCAATATAGGAGTACTGGAAAACCTTAAGAGTACATTTAGAGTACTGAACGGAATTTAATGGAGTATCAGTAATCGTGTGTTTCGTTTCACATATGCACCACGACATCGCTACTCTTGTGTAAACAGGTCAATAAACAATAAAACAATAATGTTTCAGATAAATACGTCTGTAAATGATTCTAAGACCGTACACCATTGCTGTGGTGTGTATCTGCTATGTTTTCTAAAATATTTCCTACCGTATTGTGCATATTTTTTATCCGTACATACGCCGATACCGCCCTTATCCCCAGATAGCATTCGGACGTTGGCCCAACGTTGGCAATGTTGGCAAAACCATTGCCAACATTGGGCCAACGTGTGAATGCTATCTGGGTCCCTGATCTAATCTCAACCAGGCAAACCAAAGATTAATATCATGAATACAAGCATGGCAAGATGACACGCAAGCCGTGACCAACTACAACATGGACTAGGTAAATTAATGATTGATATCATGAGCACCAACACAAGCATAGCATGATGAAACCCAAGTGAGGCCAAATGTTGTAGTTGTCCAATCTCAGATTTTACGACAAGGGTACTCTGAATCTATTCTTGCTAATACTAGACATTTGTACTCACCAGGCTGAGGGCTGAAGTGTCCAGCGACCCCTGGTGCGGGAGAGTTTGAGAGCACACCATGTGCTGCACTGCCCATCTGTATAACCTGTGGGTGCTGAGCCGCTGTTAAGGTCCCAGTTTGAATCTGGTTCGGTGTCGGGGAGTCTGAATGAAGTGTTATCTTTGCTCCAAGCCTCATCTGATCAATGGTCAGTTCTGCCATAGCATACTTGGACAACAGACTGTCATAGTCCTTCTGCAGTTGCTGGACCAGCTCTGTAGCCTGTTTCCGCTTCAAGTGTTCCTGTTTGAGTTTTACAGTCAACTCTCCTTGCGACCTGTCACCTTCACCCTCCATCCCATCATCCACTCCAGATCGGGACAAGTCAGACATGGACAAATGTGTGGGTTTTATTGGCCCATGTCGGTTTGAGATGTTGGTTGTGCTCTTGCTCTTCATCCTGAAGCTTTGGTTCTCCTCAACAGGTTTTGGTAGGAGTCGTTTTGGCATTTTTTCATTTGAAGATCTAGGAGTTTTGTTGACTTCAAAGAAACTTTCTTCAGATCTAGCTTTTGACAGCTGTTTGGAAGAATCGGACTGGTTTGTTTTGGACGAAGGAGCTTCTGAAACTGTTGATCTGTGACTGGCTACTGATGAAGGTCGGGACTTCGTTTGATTGTTGGCAGACTCAGGTCGCGTCTGAAGTTGTTGCCTCTCTTCCTTCTTCACAGGAGAGTCTGGCTGTTCGTGTATAACAGAGCTCTGATTAAACCCGAGTCGTGTGATGTCTGTCAGAGAAGTAGAGCTCTGCTGCAGTTCATCCCTGTAAGGAGTTTGAGACCGGCTGCTGTATACACTACCACGGCTTGTAGGCCGACTGCTGTGCGGGGAGTACGGTGCAGGGGACACATTCTGACTGAAGTTTGGCATCGGGGCTTCTGACCCCATACGACTTGTGATAAAGAAGATCTCATCATCATCTCCGCTCCGCTGGAATATACCTGACGTGTCGCCAACTCTGTGAAATAAACCAGTTGCATCAACAACCCTTTGATTTCCGTATTCAAACTTCCCATTATCAAATGAATCCTCAGCTCTGTTGACATTATACAGCATCAGGGCCTCCTCTGGAGAGACTTCTGGGAAGGAATGGCTGCTGAGGGTCTGCTCTGAGGCAACAGAATTTGGACGGAATCTGTTCTCTCCCCCATTTGTGAACTCCTGTGACCTATACGCCTGTTCCTGAATCTGTCTCTCATTTTCTTTCCTGAAAAAATCAGCGATAGTGTCCGTCTGAGCTGTATCATCAAATATATTCTCCCTGGACAGATGTGCCTCTAGCTGTTCGAAATCTTGGACTGAGTCTTTGGTATTGGACAAATCAGCACCATCCACTAACACTCCGAGGTCACGCAGCTGCTGATAATACTCCTCCGTGAAGAGTTCACTCTTATCACCTTTTGATTTGTTAGCACTTTGATTGTGTTCAATATGTTGTACACCCTGGGGCTTCTCTAGTGAGCTTCTATTGCTTACGATACCCGCAGACGTATTTCCCCGGCTGCCATCTTGAAAATCCTGATCGAAACTGTTGACGGATTCTCGATCAAAGCTCAGGTCATCTTTGGACGCTTCAAGCTCACTGATATTCACACTTTGGTCGACATCAAATATTCGTGAGTCATCATCAAAGCTTGTCTGTAGCTGTCTTAGTGTGGATGTGCTCGACTGTTTGTCTCCTCCGAACCCAGAGTCAGTCCAGTGGCCTGTGTTCTTGTAAAGGTCAAGGTCATCTCTCACAATACCATCATTGTCTATCAGAAAGCCCCCAGTGCCTACAACAAAAGACATCAGTGTATAGAAAACATGGTCCCTTGTAAAAACATCATATTCTTTTTCAATTTTACTGTTTTGAAAAATTACAGAAACATTAAAGTCCTGCAACCATGGCTCAAATAGCTGCTCTTTATAAATATTAGTCCAGATAATATGACTCTAAAAATGAATCATATATCTTTCCTATTTTCAACTATCACAGGTTTCCCAATTTAACAAACTTTAAATCCTTATTTTCCATAGCCAACACTAGCTGAAGGCTAGAAATGTTCAAGTTCATCTGTTTTTCCAGGCTGACTACAGCATGCTTATTTTTAATCCTTATTTTCTTACTGCTATAACCTGTGAAGAGCAGATGCCACACACAAAGGTAAAAGTAAATACATCTGTCTGCTGAGAGATGCATATACAGGCAGCCAAATGCATCTTTCCCAAACTAGTACATCCAAAGTAAGTTCTTTGAGTGGCATTTTAGAAGTTGGGAAGAACAATAATGACAAACATCCAAAGTAACCATTGCTTTAAACACTGACACAACAAAATCTCTATTACAGTCACACCACACAGCAAACTAGGGACATAGTCTACTCCAGAATCTACCCATCTGTAGATGTAATATATATCTGTAACACACATACATTACCTTATTACCAAGATTAACCTGTACATACCCCTCTCCTAGACAAGCTGTTCAGTGTGTTACGACAGTTAACACTCTTTCTATACTGTGCACTATGGTCCATTCCTGTCCACATCTCTCTCCTAGACAAGCTGGTCAGTGTGTTACGACAGTTAACACCCTTCCTACTGTCCACTATAGTCCATTCTATTATTCATGATCAGTTCCCACCCCACCCACTCATGATCAATATTTACTTACTTGAGAGTAATCAAAGTCTTCTGTACAAAGCTGTCATAATTTTTGTCACAGACTCAATATTGTCTAGTAATTTGATTACCTTCAGTAAGCAGAAAATGAAGTGCCAATTTTCGAATTAAGACCTGTTACAGACATTTAACAGTAAATTTATAATTTTTATTATTTTTTGCAACCATCAATCTTATTTAATTTTTGTATATACTTTTGAAATAATTTTTCAAAACCATTCCACGTCCCCTCAGAAGGTGATCATGTTATCAAGTAGCTATGGGGAGTTTCAAAATGACTGACAATTTATGAATTGATTGGAATAAGTTATAACCCAAATATCACCTGTGCCCCTAGTCACCATACTGTATATCCATCGATCAGCCATGAACGCAAACATGACACGGACATGGTAAATGTAAATATAGCATACCTTTCATGATTACAAATACGCACACCCATGTTGTCACTCCAAAGAAATAGACAACATGAATATTATGCTTAGATTGATGCTCATGCTGTTGATGACTAAACTGTCTGGTCCAAATTTAATTATGTACAGACTGCCACCATATAGCTGGAATATTGCTGAGTGCGGCATAAAACAACAACCAAACCCCCCAAAGAGGCCAGAAAACAGAAACAGAGCATAGCCCAACTATATACAGCACCTACAATTCAGTCATAAACTAACAATGTAGCTAACATCACCATTATCAGAGGTTGTATATGACAAGCACTTAAACTGCCCAATAAAACAAAGAGTGTAGCACGCTGACCAATCTCCTTCACAGTGTCCCATAATTACATACTCCCTGATATCAGGTAGGTGAACAGGTTGAGTGCACTCCAAACATTGTCATGGTTTGATTCCTCAGGGAGTCAGGTGTTTGTGATACTTTTAAAATTAAAGCCTTTGAATGGCATTTAGATGTGAAGGGAAATTTATGGATGCCAACATCTGCAATATGAGGAACACAAGATTTTGGGGTAATTTCTTACAAGTCCAGGCTGTTTACAAGGATATATTCCAAAATTTTATCTACTTCATTTTACAGAAGTCGACATCCATAAATTCCCAATCTTGTGTATCACTTCTAAAATTTTCCTTTACTCCACAATTATTCAACCGATAACAAGCAGAGAGATGATAAAGTGTACAAAATGTGCATGGGAATCAAACTCAGGTCAGCTGTGTGAAAAGGAAAATGCTTTAACCATGAAGTGTGCAAATAGCCACTGGCCCGCTAGCCCGTGGCTAGTAAAAATCTAGTCGGGCCAGTAAATCATTGAGTCACTGGCCTGACTGGCTATTGAATTTCAAGGGGTCATTTTTTAATATATCACTCTCTCCCTTTTGTTAAGTTATAATACACTTTTTAATCATGCAAGGCTATGGTCTGATAAATGATGGTATTTTAACTTTTTGTAATCTTTTGCTTATATATAATTAGTTCCTACATTCAACTTTCGGACTAGTGAATTATTTTGTGGCTTAGTATCTTACAGGCATAGCTAGCCCGACTGGCAAGCAAAATTTGGAAACTATTTTGCACGCTCATCCCACTGACTGAAGGTATAGTCAGTGTGATCACCTCTCACACTATACCAAAATATTTTGAAAAATGGAACTTGTTATTACCCTTCCTGGATAAAGTAAAAACAAGGATTGGTTGGCTTGGAGTCAATGATTTGTCTGAGCACTGTATCTGTATGAAGCTATCTTTTATAATCATGCAACCTGTCTGTCTGTCTGTCTGTCTGTGTACTGGTCGCTGCTAGAACCAGTCAGGAATAATGTTTGCTTACACCTGAGATCACCAAGATACCATGCCACAGTTTACTATGGATATGCCACTCAGACACAAAATACTCAAAGATAACCAGTGGTTTCTTAGTCCCCATGCATATTGTAACAACAGGTGCCATCTTTGAATGTATTTTGGTATGACAAGACCAGGGATTGAACCACCAGCCTTCGGCACTCCAGTCAGACACTATATCCACTACACCACTGAGGAAGTTATTAAGGGTCTGTATACCACAAATCACAAGATCTGCACAGGTCAAGATGGTTACCATGGTGACAAGCTGGTTACCATGGTTTCAAGCTGGTTACCATGGTGACAAGCTGGTTACCATGGTGACACAGGAATCATCAGCGTAAGTTACATGATGAGTGTAAGGGTCTACTGACCACAAATCAAAAGATTTGCACAGATCAAGATGGTTTAACCATTGGTGACACAGGAATCATAGGTGGCAAGCCATTGTGATAACATTCTGGGCAAATCTGGGACTGAAACTGCTGAGGGAGATAACTCTACACAGTGAAATGAGTTACCTCTGAAAAACCTTCACATAATGTTCCAGACCAAAGACTGAATGGTTGTTCAAAAAATGAAGCCATACCTGTGAATTGGATTTATCCCTCCATGGCCTTTTTCCGGTTCTTTCTAATTCCTTTATTATTCTGTACTATTTTCAAGCAAGGCACACACAAACGTGGTCCAACTTTATCAATCTTTCATCAACATTCTTGACAGTGTTTATCACAGTAAGTTCTGCATAGACTCCCTGGGTGGTCCTTAAACCAATCTCACTGACTTTCTAATTAAGGTCATTACTTCCCACAAATTCAGGGAACATGTCAAAATCTTGACAGTCATTTTCACTATTTTCAGAATAGAGCAGAAAAATTATATTACGTTTCATAATATTCACACTGAGAAATTATTTAATCATATTCATAATAACACAAAAATATCAGCTCTTGCAGCAAACATGATATCTAGCTAAAATGATTTCATGTACACAATTAATTAAATTACTTGATATACAGTCTCTCTTCTAAAGTGGGTTGACGATACTCATGATTAAGCTGCTTAGGACACACCAAATACATTAAGTGTGTAATGGATAAACTATACTCAACAAAATTGTAAAAGAAGGGGGGGGCAGAGGGGTAGCCTTGTGGGTAAAGCGTCGCTCATCACACGAACGCCCGGGTTCAATTCCCCACATGGGTACAATGTGTGAAGCCTATAGCTATTTCTGGGGTCGCCCGTTGTGATATTGCTGAAATATTGATATAAGTGGCATAAAACCCAACTCACTCACTCACTCTACAGGAAGGTGAGTTTGCTGGGTTTAACTCCACTTTCAACAGTATTCCTGCTATATCAGGCTCACTGACTTGGTTAACACATGTCTATGTATCCCAACTTTGTAGATCGATGCTCATGATGTTGATCACTGGATTGTTTAGACTGCTGCCATATAGCTGGAATACTGCTGAGCGCGGCATTAAACAACTAACAAATTAATATTTCAGGTGTTCATGACATTATACTGTAAAATCATGGTTGTTTAAACTCCATACTTGAAGATTGTTCTGTTAAACTTTTAGTCCAAGAACAATTCTAAAGGAAACCAAATATTTCAATACAATTAAATTCTTCAGCATTAAATTCTCTTCAGTCCTATTCAAATGTATCTTTTTTCCAACATGTTGATATGTATAAATTTTATTTGAATATTAACAAATTATTTTCTAAAATATATATTTATACATTTCAGTACATTTCTGAACTATGTGTCAAAACTTTCAAAACTGTATCATATGGCATTTTTTGCAAATCTGTTTAAGGAATGACATTTAACTCCCCAAAATCAGGCAAATGAGGAAACAAGTATCTTATCCAGTCCCTAGGGAGAGTTGAAGTAGCAAATGATCGGCAATCAAAAGAACATTTTTACTTAATATCAGACATCATTCATGATACATGCTTGCGTGTATCGATTCCTATTTTAAAACTTTATCGATTCAATGCTATATCCATCCCCTTCAAAGTCTTGATAGTAAAATTATACGAGATAGCTCCGATAAATAGATTAGCTAGCTTTACTTAAAAAAATAGGTTGGAAACTAACAGCTTTTGTGATTGGCTAGATTATTTTGATGGACCAATCAGCGAGCGCGTACGTTGCCGGTAAGGAAATGCTATGATGCGGGAGTCACAAAACGAAAGTGAATCGAAGTGTTGTGCATGGATTTCTCAACTACAGATTTCGAGACTCCCACTGGGAGTAAATTCAAGTCTAATGTGAAGAAACATTTGTTTCCCAGTCTACTATGAGGATGGCCAACGAAAAGTTAGTCGTGAAAAGACAATGTGTCATATTTGTAAGACATTGATCGGATACAGTGGGAATAAGTCCACCTCATATTTATTATTTAACAACTATTTTCTATTGATTCAATTGACACTAAGCTGATTGCTGATTGCTTAAGTATTATTTTTCATTTTATGTGTTTTTGTGACACAGTATAAGATCAGTTATATTACTTGTGACTTATTCAAAGTTTATACTTGACAGTCTTGCTGCCAGTTGCTGGTACAGATCATTTATTTATTTATAATTTCGTGCTTTCAAGTTTACACAGATTCCCGAACGTTGGTTGGTTGAGAGAGCGGTCATGTGATCTAAATTTCAAGGTTCATTACTCTTGAACCCCTCTAATCGTTCATACTTGTGTAAACACCGTTCATGCGTGTGTGAACGTTTTTCGCTTCGGTTTCAAGGACCCCCAATAATTGGTGATACCAATTTCGCGAACGAACCTGTTTCAAGTCACCCCAAGTTTGGCAATGTCACTACCAAACGGATTGCCAACATTGTTCCTTTTCACAGGAGTTTAATGTCTCGCAGTCTCGATGTCAAAGCGTTGTTCAAACTCTCGCGTGAACTCGCTCGTTCACACGAGTTTGAACACCGCTTTGACATCGTTCATTTTTCAGTGCAAACACACAAACTGACATTCAATTCTTAATTACTCTGAAACTGGAGACAATTGGAAGTGTTATTTCCAGAGTTACCAAATTTACCCTGATAAGATTGATACATTTCATTTCATCATGAATCATGATGATATTGATGTCGGACAAGCATACCTGTCAAGTTGGACATATAAAAGGGAACCTTGGGACTTTGGTTTTAATTTAACTTGAATAAAAGTTTTCTGAGAACATATGCATACTTATTGAGTTATTAGCAAAACCAACATGATTGTTATAAGAATTTATTAGTAAAGAATCTCAGATTTACATCCCTCTTTAAGCAGCCTTCCGCAAAAAGGCGTGAAAATTATGTATCGCGATATATATCGTACCGTGACCTTAAAATCGTGATATGTATCGTATCGTGAGATTGGTGTATCGTGACACCCCTAATTCATACTGTAGAACTTCTGGCATACATTTGGACCATTCATGTGATTCTTAGAATTCTTTCATCTCAATCCTTAACCAGCAACAAAGCATGTTGATAAGGCAAAATAAACAAATTTAAAAAAATGTTTTTCACTAATTGTGCAATTTATTTAATGACATTTTAAAGTATTAAAAAATGTTTTTACTAATCATGCAATTTATTTAATGACATTTTAAATTTTAAAACACTCAGTATCAACTACTTAATTAAGACCGCCTCCATGGTGTAGTGGTTAGAGCGTCCGCCCAGAAACGTTAAACCCAATTTCACCTCACCTCACTTAATTAAGTTATGATGTTGACTGAGTCACTCGCCTTATTAAAGAATTGAATAAAAAATATTCATATAAAAAAAAAGTATCCAACTGTCACCTGAGTTTATATGAGTTCCAATAGCATTATCTTTTTTGTCACATTGACACACATTTTTCAGCAGCAGCAGGGAAAATTAAGATACAGACATACTTTCATGCCAGAATGAAAATTCTGGGCCAGCAGCGGAAATGTAATTCTGAAGAAATACAGACAGCCTTTATTCAACGTACAAAATTCATAGTAAACAGTTGATGATAAACTTTATCTTAACAGCGTTTGATGGTTACTTCTACCAATAAATGTAGGCTGAAAATGTGAAATATTTAAACTATCATTATGATGAGTAAGCATGGTTAAACAATCCAAACACATGCAGCCATTGAGAAAGGCATTATATAAGAGTTATCTCCCTTCCATCGTAAGTCACTCCATTCTACACATTCTATCAGAAGAGTGTAGACATTTCAGCAGTTTGTACTGGGTTATTTCTCATTTTAATTCATTTTGTATAGTTACTCAGAAAATCTGAAATGGATGTTGCAAGCTCTTTCCAAAAATTTTAATCAAAAAAGATTTGTGAATTTTGTTAATCCACATAATTGTGAAATTTCCATTGCCTAAACTTATATCTACTATGGTATACCTATGTACTATATTGTTTCAAAAGAAGGATGTATTCTAAACATATAGAACACAGAAACCCTAGATGTATGTTCTTCCTTAGAATGAAGACAGAAAATGTAATATGCTAGATTACACAAGTGCAATGTACTCTCACAGACCAAAACAACTGTACAGTTTACTAGGAACATAGAGATTTTTTTCTGGGTTACATCTTCTTTTTATTCTCGAGTACAATGTTTCAGGGCTTGTTCTGGCCCCATCATCAGGTAAAACTGAACAGTAACTGTTAAAACTCTGGCCGTGCCGTCACAATGCTTATGATGTCACAATGCTATGACGACGCAATACATGTGGTGGTCAATAGATACAGATGACATGGCTAATAGAGCATGACATCCACATATTAGAGTTGACCACCACATGTATTGCGTCGTCATAGCATTGTGACGTCATAAGCATTGTAACGTCACGGCCAGAGTTAACAGTTACTGTTCAGTTTTACCTGATGATGGGGCCAGAACAAGCCCTGAAACATTGTACTTGAGAATTAAAAGAAGATGTAACCCAGAAAAAATCTCTATGTTCATCAAATATCATCTTGTAAAATGCCAATCAAGCATCTAGTTTACTAGGAAGCCATGATTATGGGAGGAAATCTGAGATTTTTGTCAGACACAGGAAATTTTCTGTCATCGAAATTTGATTCCAGGAAATTTTAAATCTAAATTAACAGTTTGTTAACTTAATGTCCAGCAAACGATTAATTATCAAATTTTTCTTTATTTTTTGTTAACCCCCTGGATGCCACAGGGACATATATGTCCTTCCCCTTCAACCCTCAATGTCAAGTCCAATAAAAATCAAAATATCCCACGCACACAAATACACTTCACAGTTTCGAATTCTGCGGGACATTTCCTGTTTCTTGATAACACCCACTGGTATTTTAGACAAAGCTCAAGTGCTGTAAATGACCTTTCAAAATTGGCTTCATCGAAAATGTCGCCGTTTTTGACACAGTACGAAATCGCGATTCACAGCGTTATTTGCTGTATGTTTTGAAATGTGAAAATCGGATAATTACTGGGAGTATTGAATTTCAAAAATAACATATTTATGATCACTGATATCGGTTTTACATGAAATCGCTAATTATAATTCTGAAACGTTGCCGATGAATCTAGAATCGGTTGGGATGTTTTCGAAAATGCACTTACACGAACACCGTAGAGCGCTTTCCGCCATATTGGATAGTGTTTACAAAAATCACGTTTCGCGAAGGCCGGTATTGAGACCTATTACATCACGTATATTTCATATTCAGCTTCGAAAAATGCATCACTGAATTCCCCATACATTTTACAATCAAATTGCAACCGGTCTGTGTCACCAATGATAACTGTCTAGATAAAATGAGACGAAACATATTGGGTGTGAAAACGAACGCTGTGCTTGAAAGACTGCGTTAGTCTGAAATGTAAACAAAGACAAATTCCGATTTTACACTGCGTAGCATTTTCTGAAATTGTTCAACATTCATCCGTCTATTCATTGCTTGCAATTGCTCAATACCTTTGGAATATGCATGGAAAGAGTATCGTAGCAAGAAATAGGAAATTATAAATAGATACAATGCAATGATTTGATAATTCATAAGAAATTGTCAAAGTTTCCGTGCAGCGTGACGCCATGACTGACGCCAAATCACGGAGAACGACAACGGTAATTTCTGGCCTTTTCTCCTACTTATAGTAAAAACGATAAAAACATATAACAATACACAGATAGCCAGAATCATTCTGATTACTTACATGTCATATTTATGTACAAACGATCCCTGAATCAATGGAAGGGTCTTCGCAAAATCCCGTGTACCCTTGTCAGCAAAGCCGCCATTTTGTAAGAAATCGGTCAGCGGTAGTGATGTCATACGTCAACATTGTTCTACATATTAGGCAATTTCTTTGAGGTGAAGGTCGGTTGAACAAGAGTAAACACAATCGCCATATCCTTCCGATTACACTGTCAGTATTATGGTGTATATTTTGCGTATTAGTTCAGATACTTGTTCATGAAACTGACTTCAGTATCTACATTTAGCTTTGTTCAATATCATATCATACGTGCATATAGGGTTTACGGTGTTATATTCTTTGAGAGTTTATGATTGTTTGAATCATATTTACATAAGAAATTGACATATTTAGTGCAATACACCATATTCGAAACCTTTACACAAGTGTTAGAAGATCAAACATAGCAATAACTGCAACTACTTTAGTTCCTATGATGTACAATATTAATTTTTTTTTACTATTATTGCAATTTCATATGAACAGGTTAATGAAAGTTGATTTAATTCAACCTTATATGTAAAACTGATAATATTAATGACAATGATTTATATATGGTATGAAATGTATATGCACACATATTTAAAGGAATTGTCTTGTTCATTGCATAATTTTGTGTCGTTTTATAGACAAAAGAATGATGTATATTGATCGGCAAGGGTGCCGTTTGTTGGAAACGTTTTATGATTCTCTATCATTGTTTTCGATAATATATTCAATTCATATTCGATTAAATAATATTGTGATTACAGGATATCATACTCTAACTACATTTATAGGGAAATTGTTGAAAAATATATATACCATCTCATGTGTTAATTCGGACAAATCTTACATCCATATTCTAATATATAGTTCCATATATAAAAAGCTATCTTTTTGCATCTTTCATTGCATACGTATGAAGAGAAATAGCGACATAATCATAAACAAACAAAATTCTTATCCCAAACAAAATATTCGGGTGTTGTGAAATATTATTTTTATTTACGTTAAATTGATGCCAAACAGGTGCGCGTGTTGTTCACAAAACGATTCGCTGTCAAACCGCCTAATTGTTGATATATTCAGGACACTATTTAAAAAGAAAAATCAGTCATTTTATGTTTTGTCTAAAGAGTGTTAAATTCTGACATAGAAATCTAGACCTTTTATACAATTAATGGAAATTAAGTGACATATATACTAATCAGCATACCAATGTTGTCTTTTCCGACGTCGCAAAATGCATAAAACAAGCAATGACGTCAACTAAAATGTTGTATCATTTTCAGCAATTTCGTTACATTTGAAGATATGGCTAGTACTCTGGTAATAACGATGCAAAATAAGTCAAATTACATCTACACAAACAGGAGAATATGGGAATCTAAGAACTAACTTATATATCGGATAGGGCCATTCAAATCGCTATTACGTGCTTTCACGTGTAATACGTTGACATCTTTTCTTATAAATTGTGAAACTACCAAAGCATCCGTTCACATTGGGGAACTTTGAATTGGAATAGTTTGGTTCACCATGAACATAAAATAACGAAAATATAGCGTCCGTATCCACAACAAATTCTGTCCAAGTGATCTGAGTTACATTGACCTAGTGTTACGCATAACGGAGTTATGCCCCCTTATCGTTATACGTGTATGACCTCTTTGTCGTCATTTGACGTCATAGAAGAAAATCCATTTTTGACATTTATTACGAGTCATTTTCAATGTTGAGCGTATAACGTTATGCACAAGCACATAAATCCAATTCATATACACTTATGTCGTTCAGATATCAGGCTGTATTTTCTTCGCTCACACATTCCGTAAAGATGCCACATTAAAAAATTCGTAGCACAGTGCTTTATCGGTGCGCGATAAAAAGCGGAGAAATTTACTGTTTTTTAACGCATAACAAAAATTTGGACAACATTTAGCAAGGTCTATTTCTCAAACTGCCAAGGTAGTTGCACTTATATTTATACCAACGGATAGGAAATTTAATATTCTACATTTCTGTGTAATTTTATAGCCGTACGTAGATCCAGGACAACGCGAGCGCAATTCTCGCACAACGTTCACTTTTCAAAGCGTATGAAAATGTGCGCCTGAAAAAAAACTCGGCATCAAGGGGGTTAAAAAATCCACAGCCACCAATCCACCCCGTATTCACTGCATAACGCATGACATTGTTTGTCCTGCAGTCAGTGACCAGATGCCTTTCCATTGAACTCAAAATTACTAAGCTAGGATTGGATGGCTATTTTATGTATTATTACGATGATTTTAAGTTGTATCCTATGACGCTAACAGCACCTCACCTCAAAGACCCATATGTAAACCAATCAAATACAACATTAAATGTTTGTTTTCAACCGAAGACCTACCTGTTCATCTGCTGTAATCTTCATCCACGTCCATTGATCCTTTTATCCATATACAAATGTTGCCATGTGAGTTGTTTATGACTCTTTAATTAGGGTTACTATGGCAACTCTTTCACAGTTATGCCAGTTTTACACCTACATTGATTTATTTGCAGCTGAAGTCCCCCCAAGAAAGACCCGATAACAGACTAATTATTGACCAAATGAAACAACCAAATGCAATGAAGGAGTCCCTGTTACGAGCGCATGCACGCACACACGCACTCACACACAACCCTATTATATAGATACCCATGAAGATCCGGGTTAGAATGTGCTTTCAGTAACCCCTGCTTGTCGTAAGAGGCGACTAACGGGATCGGGTGGTCAGGCTCGCTGGCTTGGTTGACACATGTCATCGGTTCCCCATTGCGCAGATCGATTCTCATGCTGTTGATCACTGGATTGTCTGGTCCAGACTCGATTATTTACAGACCGCCGCCATATAGCTTGAATATTGCTGAGTGCGGCGTAAAACTAAACTCACTCACTCACTATTATAGAGATACAATATTCATCAATGTTACCAAGTCACAAGCCTTATACCAATGATAGCAGTCTGTAAATAATGAAGTGTGGAGCAGCCAGTGATTGACATCATGAGCATTGAGCATTAGGATACAATGACACGTGTCAACCAAGTCAACGAGCCTGACCACCCGATCCTGTTAGTCGCCTCTTACAATAAGCATGGGTTGCTGAAGGCACATCCTAACCAGGATCTTCATGACTTACTTGAGGCAGAGTCACGGAGGATTCCATCATCATCCAAATCGAAATCATCACTCATGCCAAGGAATGCCATCTTGATTGTCTCCCGTTGTGTCCTTGACCCGACGTCTATATCCAAGGCCACCGTTCACGACTCGTCATCTGTAACAAGGTTGACATTTGTTCACTATCAAACATTAAACCTGTAATATTGTATTTTCCTAATACAATGTATTTCCTAAAAAATTATGTGATAAAATTGTTTCAAAATTTTCTAAACTAAATTTAATGATGATAAAAATATAAAGATTCATTTCCAGTTCTATACTACAATATATCCTTGTTTTTAATACCAGACCAGAACAGGAGGTGATCTGGCTAAACAGTACAAACATATTTCAACACACAACACATTGCCAGTTTCAATGTGTGAAGCCCATTTCTGCTGGTGTCCCCCGCCGTGACATTGGTTGAATATTACTTAAGATTGGCATAAAACTCACTCACTCATTCACTCAGAGGCTGTACATGTAAACACGATAATCATATGGCACAACTCTGAACGGCAGGGTGTTTTGATTGACAGTTAGCTCAACTGGTAACTGACAACTCAAAGTAGAAGGTAAGTCCGCTGTAATTGGGCTGCCAACGTGTAATTAACTTCCCTATCTCAGGTTCCATCTTCACAATGTAGAGGGAACGTTTCAAAAACCAGTTAATGACTTTTTTTCTTTTACGCCCTATTTAAATCAATTGTAATGCTCATTCCGTATTGGACAAAACTATATTTTTGCACATCAGTGAGAAAAAAAGTACATTTCTTAACCAAATTATTTATTATACCATTTAAAGCACCACCACAATGTCTAATTTCAAACATTTTCGTTCTTTTTCTTTTATGTTGTGAGCTGGGTTTTGTGTTACTTTCAGTCATCCAAAGAAATAACATGGTGGAGGACATAAGAAATAATTTCACACACCTTGGAGAACTGAATCTAGGCCTTTGGTGTGACGTATCAAAAACATGGAACACTTGGTTACCTACACAACCCTGGTCAATTGGATGGAAAATGACCATTTGTAAAAATGACAAATGACTAAATATCATTTCATACAAAAGCATTCTCCGAGTATATTTTTACATAAAAAACAAAGCGCAATTTAAACATGTAAAACAAAAATCAGAATTATTTAACAAAACATCAAGCTTGATGCCTGATATAATAAAAACAAACAAAATATAAAAAATATAAGCATTGACTGCAATACTTTTCTCCAGTAATTCATGAATACAAAAAATCAATCAAATCAATTCTAATATGAACAAATATGTCCACCATAACAATGTCACAGGCTGCTTTTTTATTCATTAACAGAAGCGCAGCCAATACTAAAGAATCAATTATGTTATTCAGCAAAATGATGAAGCACGATCCCCGCCCATTCTATTTTTAGTCAGTCAAGAATATCCAGTGGATTAGGCACAATTGGAAACAGCCTTATAGATCTTCAGAAAATGAATTAAAAGATTTGCTTTATGTGCAAACATAGATATTAAACATTGTTTGACAAAATGTTTACATTTTCATTTATAGACAATATATATCATCTAACAATCATGACATTGTATGACAATGTTTTTATTTTCATTTACAGACTATATATATCATCAATCAATCAAGACATTGTATGACAATATTTTCATTTTCATTTATAGACTATATATATCATGATTGACAGCAAATCAGCATTTAAAATTTTTTCACTCAGTTTACAGATCAGTTATTTAATAATGGTTTTCAGTTTCCATCAAAATGTATCAATGATTTATTTTCCTTTGCAATACATGTGTTACAATGATTTCAGTCTTTGAGAATCATGACTCACTGATCAAATTTTTTACTACACCAGATGTTCACCTTTAAAAGAATTACCATACCTTTCTAGTTTACAAGCTTCAACAGAATTCAACATTTTGTCATTACTATAGTCCGTTTGGCCCAAAAGCGGACCGATGAATTGAACACCTGGCTGTCCCTTTCTCTGCACTCCTCCTTCGTAACAAATAGTGAACTGTGTCAAATTTTTAATGATACTTTGTTAAACAACTTTTTTATTTTTAGGACATAAATTCTGCAAAAACCTCACAGAGTTGGTCTGAGGTTTTGATTATGATCAGTGTTTCATTGAGTATTTTATGTTTATTAGTTTTCGAGTTAGATTGCAATTCATCGGTCCGTTTTTGAGCCAAACGGACTATAGACACAGGAGAGTAGCATAGTCCACATAAAGTCCATGAGATATATCAGACTTGTAGCTTCTGACAACACTTAAGTCCGACAGCATGACATAGCTACTTGTGGCTTACTGCCCCGAGACAAGTACATAACAGACACAATGTAACCAGGAGCTTCAAGGACAGACTCGGCTATCACCTGGAACACGGGATCTTCCTGGAGGACTAGCTGGCCTTCTCGGAGATAGAACATTGGATCTTGGTGATCTACGTATCCTGAGAGCTGGTCTATCTCTTGAGATAGAACATTGGTCAGCTGAACACCTGATCTTGGTGATATACGTATTCTTAGAGCTTGTCTATCTCTGCAGACAGAACATTGGCCAGCTGATCAACAGATCTTAGGGATCTACATATTCTTAGAGCTTGTTTATCTCTTGAGATAGAATATTGAACAGCTGATCACCAGATCTTGGTAATCTACATATTCTTAGAGCTTGTCTATCTCTTGAGATAGAATATTGAACAGCTGATCACCAGATCTTGGTAATCTACATATTCTTAGAGCTTGTCTATCTCTTGAGATAGAATATTGAACAGCTGATCACCAGATCTTGGTAATCTACATATTCTTAGAGCTTGTCTATCTCTTGAGATAGAATATTGAACAGCTGATCACCAGATCTTGGTAATCTACATATTCTTAGAGTTTGTCTTTCTCTGTCCATGAACACGTTTTGTTTCTTTTGTCGTTTACACTATATGATGGACAATCCAGTGATCAACATCATGAGCATCGATCTATACAATTGGGATATGATGACATGTGACAACCAAGACAGCGAGCCTAACCACCTGATCCCGTTAGTCGCCTCTTACTTCAAGCATGGGTAGGTGAAGACCAATTCTAACCCGGATCTTTACACGTTCATTAACACATCATTTAAAATAAATCATCGGTTGTCAATCAGCTGAGGATATAACATGTACAAAAGACAGGTCCTCCAGTACATATAAAAGTGGACTACTTGGACTTATTGCCACATCAGCAAGTTTGTAGCTATTCACTGTGAACTTTCTTTCATAAGTTCAAAGAATTGATGGTAGACCTGTACAACTGGACCCTTGTTGCGACAAATCCAGTAGAAGATGTAACCTAGGCAGGTGGAGGTATTGGTTCAAGATAGTCGATTCAGCCCTTTCTTCAACAGCAGTGTCAGCATACCATAAGTTGACACGGATGTAGAGCAACTATACTTGTGAGACAAGACCCTGTTTGCCAATTGATCTCAACACTACCAGACATTACACCAGAGATGCCAATCCCAAAATAGTAGATTCAAGGATCAAAATTAGTAGTTTGACCATAAAATTAGTAGTCAACTAAATATTTAAAATCATGATGAATTCTGAGAAATATAATATGACACTAATCAAGAGCGAAGCTTTAATTTCACATACCTCCAACAGCGGATTTCCAAATTATCAGCATTACATTTCTTCTTGTCGTATCTTTTTGACGAAAATGTATTTAATCGACGAAAATATGTTTTTCTCTATATCTGACTTTTAATGAATTTTCTTCAAATTTCGTAGAATTTCTAGTGCAATTGTATTGGAGTAGTTTGAGGCTAATATTTCTAGTGACTATGATAAAATCGTAGAGGTTGGCATCTCTGTAACACCTATAATTTTACAAGCACCTGTGACGACCGAATCTAAATTCATATTGCGGGACAAGATCCTGTTTCATCAAGCGATCTTATTGTTGTCGTTACATGCTAACAGTTGAAGCCCATTTCTGGTGTCCCCCGCCGTGATATTGCTGTAATATTGGTAAAAGCGGCATGAAACCATGCTCACTCACTCACTCACTCACTCACTCACTCACTCACGTGCATACAGTTCCAAGGACAGCTGCTAGTGGGCTTACAAAAGTGAGTGAGTGAGTGAGTGAGTTTAGTTTCACACATCATGTCCAGTTTATAAAAGATTAACTGTACTTTAAATAAATGTTAACACACTGTTAAAATATTGTTTGAAACTGCCTTAATAATTATAATCAACTACTTAACATGTGGAGAGGCAAGGCAGTACAAGTGCACTAATTGTCCTGTTGGAGAAATTTAAAAAACATTAAAAACTTTGATTTTTAATAATATAAAAACTATAACAAGTCTTTTTGATTTCACACTCTCATTTTGTACTTTTGATCAGAAAATCAAGTAATAAATAGAAAAATGACTAGTACAGTAACTTCCCCCACTGAATCGTCTACGACCTCCATACAAACAGCCTTCACCAGACAGGCAATCAACCCATATATTTATATGTGAAGTAACATAAGTGTGGTTAAATGTTCTGCTTGAACAGCCATACAGAAAACCAGGACACATTATACATCTGTTATCAATACTCCTCAGATTAAACTCCAATCAATAGACGCACAAATTACCGGAACACTCAATATGAGATGGCGTTCATGTTACACAGTGATTGGTCACGGTTCTTTCGGCTTGGTCAGACATTTCTGGTTTTCTGGACGTTTTCTATAGTACCTGGATAGGCCAGACCAATTTTATTTTTTGTTTAACGGATCTGCCTGTCATATCTTTTCAAGAATAAGAAAAGAATAAATAAATTTCCAAGCTCAAAAATATAATCCTAATGTTTTTATTGGCCAGAAATGTAAACTTACAAGAAATTTATTTTCAGATTGTATTTTCCTCCATATACACTTCACAAATTGACAAAAGTAAACTACTTTTAGCATTTAAAAGGAATATTACTTTGACTGGTTATTTTTTAATTTTTTTCCTCACCCTGCCTTTAGGTTTTCTGAGGACAAAAATCTGCAAAACAAGAAATAAAATTGGTCTGGCCTTAACAAGACCTGCTGACCAAAATCATTTCTCACATAAGACAA